CTTAAAATTAGAGATGTCAATGAGGTATGATGGTATGGATCGGATGGCCAATTCGTCCCCCGTTCGGTTCAGATCAAAGACCATATATCTCTCTTCCCCCGTGATTTCTCAATGGGACAAGGGGATATTTTTCATTTGGCCTATTGCTATCTTGCTTAATATTTAAGATTGAGCAATGCTTCATGTATAATAAATTTGACAACATTATTAACAACATGTCACATGACATATTGTAATTGGAGAGTTTAAAAGGCAACCCAGTTTTTTAATCAACACTTTTTTACCACACTTATCATGATCAACAATGTTGTACAATATCATTGTACAAATAAATTAATTGTTTCAGATTACACGTCTCTCCCATAATAAATTTATTCATGAGTAACACGTGTCATTAATTGCGTCAAGTAAGAAGGAAAAAATAAATTAAAAAACTGCATCTATTATGAATACGCGTACTCAACGTGAAAATTTTCGCAGCCCTACAATTATTTGGGAATATTCCAAATCTTAGACCATATACCAGAAATTCCTCTATCTAGACTTTACTAGTCAATTCTAGAATCTCATTCTCCGGACCGCCCCAAATCAATATTCCTCTCTCTCTCTCTCTCTCTCTCTATATATATATATATAATACACAGATATACATCATCCGCATAATCTGATAAACAGATAAAATTATTTTGATCCTAGCAGTTCGTTATCGAAAGCTGAGAGAATACCAAAAAATCGATCGGAGAAGATGTGTTTGGTTTTTGTTTGTGACGAGGATCAGAGAGTGATCGGTAGGCAACCGGCGCCGGGGGCGTGTCCTTACTGCGGGGGTATGGTTCAAGCCATGGACGTGGAGAGCAATTGGAGGTTCTGCTTTGTGCCGCTTTATTTCAAGACCAAGCGTAAATTCTACTGCTCCGTCTGCTCCAGGCGATTGGTTGTACAATGATAATACCCAGAATCGGACATGGCGTTGTTAATCATGTAGGTTTTCTGTTTAATTTTACTTCTCGTGTAATGAATTATGAGTTTTTGTATTTTTTTTTAACGATATTGTACAGTTATGTGATATTAAAAATTGGAAATGTTCGAGGAAAATTAATCAACATTTTAATTTTGTTAATTATCGGAAAATTTTATTCTTTTTTGTGGTCAGTGATTGTACAGTTCTATTTTATTTTCTCATTGTCATGATAGGCGATTTTTGATATATTTTTATTTTCTAATCAAAATTGAATTTATACTCTTCTCTAAAAAATTATATTGAATGAGTCCAAGTTTGACTTAGACTTTTATTTAGTTAGTTCCATAAATTATTCCTTTTATATTTCACTTGTTTTTTCTATTCTTTTAGGCTTATGGTAGTAAGATACTGCTATACATGTGGAGTGAATTATTGAATACTGTTAGGGCAGGACCACACGATATTAAAATTAAGAATCAAGAAAACCTCAATCGAACAGAACTAAATTGCAGAAAATTAAAGGAACACAAAGGAATTATTTCAGTCTAAACCCCGAAGGTTCAGCGATCACATCTAATGCCTACATCCCCCGTTAAGCATCCAAAGATTTGGATTTTGCTCAGTTGCACTAAACAACCAAAAATTGCAACAGAATTACAAAATATTCAGAGAGATGAAAATGAGACTTATTTCTCAAGTATAGCAACAGATCTACAAAGATTCACTCAGATCTCAGCCCACAAAACCTTCGAACACCACCAGATGATACAATAGAGAGATCACTCAGATTTCTTTACCATTCACACAGAATACAACAATCGAAAGAAGATCTCATTATACTTTATGTAAAATCAGAGATTTTACACAAGAAACGCTCAAAGAAAATCAATATCACTCAAATCGCCAATATTTTTCTCTCTGAAAAACCCTAGAGTCGAGAGCAAGATTAAGGGTCGGTTATGATATTCCAGAAGGCTCCATTTGTTTTAACAAAGGCATATGAACCGGTTTAATCCAACGTCCAGAGATAGTCCACGTGTTAGCAATCCAGTAAAGTGTCAAACACTTATTAAATCGTGTTTGATAAAAACATGGTTTTCTCACAAATAAAATTCTGGAAGCATTAACTTGAGAGAACAGAGTTCGACTCCAACAATCTCCACCTTGCTGCCAGAATTTGAGCTATTAGTGCAGTCAGGAGCATGATCTTACGTTTTTTTCATTTGTTCCAAGTACCTGTATATGAATCACAAAGAATCAACAAATAAAAGTTTCAACCAGTTTAAGAATTTATTTAAAGGAATTACTTTTGTACCCATATTAGATGGATTAAACTGAGTAGAAACTTTTTCAATCTTAATTTCACCTTTCGAGATTATATCTCTTATAAAATGATATTTAACTTCAATATGTTTTGATCTATCATAGAACATGGGATTTTTACTTAGGTGAATAGCACTTTGGTAATCAGAAAACAGCACAATGTGGTTATCATTGAAACTCATTTCAAACAATAAACCATTTAACCATATTCCTTCTTTAACACTATCAGTTGCAGTTATATATTCTGCCTCGGTTGAGGACAAAGCCACAACTTTCTGGAGTTAAGATTTCCAACTGATAGTAGTACCACACAGTGTATAAAAATAAGATGAGGTTGACTTTCTATTATATCTATTTCCAGCAAAATTAGAATCAGTATACCCTTTTAAACTTATTCCATTTTTATCTAATTTAAACATTATGTCTAAATTTAATGATCCCTTAAGATATCTCAATAACCATTTTAAGGCATACCAATGTTCTTCACCAGGATTACTCATAAACCTACTTAAGATGCTAATACTATATGCAAGATCACGTCTGGTGCATATCATCAAATACATCACAGAACCATTACATTAGCATACGGAATTTTTGACATTCTGGCATATTCATCTTCAGATTTAGGACAAAATTCAGAAGACAGTCTAAAATGACTAGCAATAGGCAGTGTTACAGGCTTACAATCATGCATGTTGAATTTTTTCAAGATTTTAGACACATAGTCACATTGATTTAAAAACAACATATTTTTATCCTTGTTTCTCCAAATCTGCATGCCCAATATTCTTTTAGCAACACCAAGGTCTTTCATATCAAACTCAGAACTTAACTTTGATTTAATGTCATCAATTTTTGATTTATCAGAACTAGCCAACAACATATCATCCACATAAAGGATCAGATATAATGAGTTTTTAACTTCACTACCTTTGCAGTATAAGCAAGTATCATATTGGCTTCTTTTTAATCCAAGTTTCAAGACAAAAGTGTCAAGTCTTTTGTACTACTGCCTAGGTGTCTGCTTTAGGCCATACAAGGATTTCTTTAACAAACAAACAGTGTTTTCAAGATTACCTTCCTCAAAACAAATTAGTTGTCTCATGTATATTATTTCATCTAATTCCTCATACAGGAAAGCAGTTTTAATATCTAGTTGATCAAGTTCCCAATTAAATTGTGTAACAAGTGCAAGTAGACATCTGATAGTAACATACTTAGCAACAGGAGAAAAAATTTCAGTATAGTCTACACCTTCTTTTTGTGTGAAACCCTTTGCTACAAGTCTAGCTTTATATCTAATATTTTTATCATCACCTTCTCCAAATTTTATCTTATAAATCCACTTGCAATCAATTAATTTTTATCCTTTGGGTTTATCAACTAATATCCATGTCTTATTTTTAAGGAGTGAAGACATTTCATCTTCCATGGCCACTTTCCAATTTTTTCTTTCTTTACATTTCATGGCTTTTTCAAAAGTGTTTGGCTCATTTTCAGTGAGGTCTTGGTAGGTAAATAAGGATACAAAGGTGTCACTATCAAATTTAGTGGAGGGTCTGATTTGCCTTCTCTTCCTATCTCTTGTGAGTTGATACTCATCAAAGGGGAGAGTTGCAGAATCAGCCTCTTCAACATGTTCAGTTTCAACTTCAGTTTCAAGTAAAATAACATGTTCTTCATTTTCATTTTCTTCTGCAGTGGTTACAGAAATGTTCTGGTTACTGCAGGAGGGCTCCACCTCAATTTGAATATCTTTTTCAGTCAAAGTATTTTCTTTTCCTTCAAGACATGGCATCAATGATTTATTGAAAACTACATCTTTTCTAATTATTACTCTATAACCTTTTTCAAATTTAACTCATAATCTGTACCCTTTAACATGTTCATCATAACCCCAAAAAACACACTTTAATGATATTGGTTCTAATTTACCAACATTTTGATAAGCATAAGCAGCACTGCCAAATATTTTCAGATAAGAGTAGTTTACAAGACTATTTGACCACATATATTCAGGAACAGCAAAGTTTAATGCACTAGTAGGACTTCTATTAATCAAATAAGCTGCAATTTTAATTGCTTCACCCCAAAATATTTTAGACAGTCCAAAGCTTAACATCATGCGTCTAACTTTATTCAACATAGTTCTATTCATTCTTTCAGCCATTTCATTTTGTTGTGGTGTGTGTGGAACAGTTTTGTGTCTCATAATGTCATATTCCTTACAAAGATTATCAAATTCAGAATTGCAAAATTTCAAACCATTATCGGTTCTTAAATATTTTATTTTAAGATCAACCTAATTTTCAACTTGAATTTTCCAGTCCTTAAAAGCAAAAAATGTCTCATCTTTAGACTTTAGTAGATGAACCCAAATTTTCCTAGAGAAATCATCAACTATTAGCAAAAAATATTTAAAACCAGTTAAAGAAGAGGCAGAAGCAGGACCCCACAGATCAGCATGCAAGTACTCAAGTCTTTGTTTAGATTTATGAATTCCACTTTGAAAAGGAAGTTTGGCTTGCTTTTCCAAAATACAGTGTTCACAGGAGCCAAAATCACCAAGATTATGTTTTCCAAAAACACATTTTGATTGCAAAATATTTAAACCCTTTTTACCAATATGACCAAGTCTATCATGCCACAGTTTTGCCAAAGTAAATTTTTCAGATACAGCTGAAGCAGTTAATCCAAGCAAAGATTTTGCATTCAGACAATAAAGACCATGTCTCTTAGGGGCTGAAGTGACCAAGTCATTTCCCCTAAAAAATTTTATATGTCATTGACCCATAATTATGTGAAACTCCTTGTCATCTAACATTCCTAAGGACACTAAGTTCCTTTTTAAATCTGGGAAATGTCTTGTGTTTTCTAAGAACAAAACATTACCATTTTCTAATAATAATTTGACAATCCCAATTCCACTCACTTTACATGCAAAGTTGTTGCCCATTATAACCTGTCCCCCTTTTGTTCTTTCTAAATTTATAAAACAATTTTTGTTGGGGCACATATGAAAAGAACAACCTGAGTCAAGTATCCACTCATTACTTAGACATTTTTCAGCACTTGTTAACACAAAACCATTTTCTGTTTTAGTTTTATCATAGGCCAGTGCATTGCTTCCATCAAGACCTTTTTCTTTTGAATCATTCTTCTTTTTAAAACAGTCTTTTGCAAAATGACCAACTTTACCACAATAATAACATTTCTTACCTTTTGCGTTATTCTTGGTCTTACTTCTGTCAACCCATCTCCTATTTGTTTTTAAAAACTTAAAATTTTGTGTAGATTTTTCAAAAGATCTTCCTTTAGTTAAAAAACTAGTTCTAGTGTGACTGTTACTTGACTTAGCCTGGATTTCTAAACCTTTATTCCTCAACGCATTGGTTATATCATCAATAGTGAGTTCATCCCAACCACATTCAAGGGCAACTTTAATGTCCTTGTACTTGTCACTTATGGAGTTTAACAGAACTACAGCCAATTGATCTTTTGAAAGTTTTTCATCACAATTGGCCAAGTCTTGGGTAAGTTTTGTGAACCTACTAAGGTTCTCTTCTAAGTCAACTGCAGGATCTATTTTAAAGGAGAAGAATTGTTTTAAAAGAAAACATTTATTTGGAGTGGTTTTAGTCTCATACTTAGCCTTAAGTTTTGCCCAAAGATTAGAGGCAGTAGTAGTTTCACCTATCTCTCTGATCATATTATCAGACAAATACAGAAATATGGTACTCCAAGCAATTTCCTCAAGTTCAGATTTCTTATTAGGAGCTATGCCCTCAGGCTGTGAATCATCTAAAGACTT